GCTTAACTGTATTGGTGTCAAAAATTACACCAACTTGTAAGATTTACCAGAAATGATGAAGCGCATTTCTTCTCTTCTTAAAAGCCAGACCGTGGCTTATTGCTAACTGGGAAGAATGCCTCAGACGAAGAGGCATGACTTCATCTACATTTAAAAGCTTTCAGCTTAGCATTTTTATTTGCATTGTACAGGGGGAAATTCAAGTACATGCCCAAAAACCTTAGAAGCGAGTTTCCTTCATGTTATAACCTGCAGAACCTCTGGTAAGCCACTCATTTACATGACACACGAGCTCGATAAAAATAGATGTATTGAAAACATACCAAAAAAGCACCAATGACATTCACAATCTCTGTCATTTCTGCTGAATCAAATCAAAATCTTGATACTCATCACAGATATACTAAGATCTCCTCCATAGTTTGGCGAAAGAGATGATAGAAGTCCAGCTTTAAAAGCCAACACCTACTTCACTAGCATCCTTACTGAATTCACCCTGTGACTGCTTAAAAAAAAAAAAAAAAGAAGAAGAAGAAGCATTTAAAAATTATTATGATGATCCTAAGAGTAACAATTAATTCTAGAACAAACTAAAAAGTTTAAAAGGTAAGGGTCAAGTGCTGCTAAGTTTAACGTTGTACAGCCCAAGACAACACAATTGAATACATGATATCAAGGACAAGAAGCTATAGGATGAGTACTGGGAAAAGCAATTATAATGAACAGAGGAGAGCTTACAGTGACAATGTATTTCTTTGAGCTAATAAGACTGGTATTGCAAACAGGTAGGATGGTAAGACATAATAAAACAATAATTTATAACAGAAGCCACATAGAAAGAGTAATAAGACACTGCCCTGACTCTGTTTAACTACCTACCATTCATGTTCATAAAAGCAGTTTCCAATGCCTGTTTTTGCTGGCCTGGATTCAGAAAGGGTTCTTGTAGTCCTATGAAGTCAACTCCCTGGAATTATCTGTGAATGCTTTGTCTAAATGATATACCTGCCTTTGTCTAAAACAAAATTACTTGATCACAAAATTCAACTGGAAATGTAAATGCTAAAAATATTTTATGGGATAGGGGGCATCCATTCATTTTATTTCTACCTTTTTTTTTTTTTTTTTTTTTTTTTTTTTTTAAGCCACCTTTTTCTGACCTTCGCACACTACTGCTTTTGGTGACATAGCTCCTTCAAATCCAGCATAGTTGGATCCTTCCAATAAACCTGGTAGCTTTAAACCTTATGGTATGGCTAAAAACACAGCAGGTCCAAAGTCACATCTTCACTTTTACCTTTCTGCTACTTACGTGGCCAGACTTTATAAGAGAAGACAAGAGAAGCCAGACTTAACATTGGCTGAGGAGAAAGTCCAGCAAGTATTCAGTTTCCATTCTGCAGTCCCACACTTACCAAAAGCAAGTGCAAAAGCATATTTGATTACATATATTAAAGTAATAATAATATACCCCTTTTCTTCTGTTCAGAAAAACATTAAAATCATTTAACAGCTTCTAACTACACTCCATAATTTGACTGCACTGAAGTTATGTTATAGATTTAAGGGGTTAGAAGTATTTTCTTTGTATGTCTGCTTGAATTTTAAAATTGTACTTTATGTTTTCAATCAAAGAAACACTTCCACGTACCCTAGAGTGTTTTGGAATGACCAAGGAAACAAAATCTCTTGAAAATTCTTAGCAGCTTATACAACAATCCAGTTCAGTTACTAATAGTTTAAGCACTTCTGTTCGAATAACCATGGGAATACATGGTTACTGATCACAGTTTGGGTTAGACTCTCTCAGATAAGCACTCACTTTGGGCTGGAACCTCAAGCAGATTGCTGAATCAGAACTTGGGAAATGAAGTTACAGAACAAAAAATAAAAAGGAAAATGGGAAAATGATACAAACTGTACATGTACGTAATGCTCACTGGAAGGACTTGTGGGATTATTCACTCAAACATCTGCCAACTGACTTTATCAATTTATTTATGAACAATTCTCTTTGTTGCACCATAAAATATTACACAGCATTCCTATGAAAATTAGAATTGTTGGGTTACTGTTTGGCCCAAGTCTTCCTTCTAAAGCAATTTAAGGGGCATCAGTCACTGGAGCATTTCAGTACTGTTTGGCCAGAGAAATATCAACTAGTTAATAAAGAAGTGTTGAGTAAAATCTCAATTAATTTAGATATTAATCACGTTAGCTGAATTTGCCTTACAAAAATAAATTACAACAAAGCGAGCTAAAATGAAACACATGCTAATAGCTCAAGTCTATTTTATCCATATTAATCCATCTTAACTTCATGCATACACAAAAAAAATGAGTCTATTCCAAATGAAATTGTTAGTTGTGCTTCTGTTATGGTTTTTATATCTATGGCAACAGTAAATCATCAATTGAACTTCACTACTAAAGCATTCAGAGACAAGGGTGGGGAGGGGAGGGTGATTTTTTTCTAAAAGGAAATCAGACTAGCTAACATTAAAAAGATGACCCAAGTTTATGCACTGACAACACAGTAAAAAGCCGCCTTTGAAGATGGTGTAGTCCTCTTACGTTGTCAGCCAGCAACATTCTTCCGAGCTCGCTTCACAAACCGCTCCCTCTCCCCTTACACCTTTTCATGTCGATTTTCCCCATTACACTAATCTACTGTTGTAAAGAATTTGGGGCTGCTTGACAACTTTGAAATCAACTCAGTTTACTGTTTTTTTTCCCATTCCACCAATTTTTCACAGCAAGTATTTCATTACACTAAATGTAGTGATATACTGCTGCACTAGAATAAAAACTGTAGGGGTGGTGGTAAAGGTGTTAAGAAATTTGATAGTCATAGATTTCTATTGAGTATCCTCATCCTGGAGCAGGTCCGAAGAAGGGCAGCAAGGCTTGTGAAGGGTTTGGAGAATATGCCCTATGAGGAGCAACTGAAGGAACTGGGGTGTTTAGTCTGGGGAAAAGGAGGCTGAAGGAAGACCTTATTGCTCTCTTCCAATACCTGAAAGGTGCTTACAGCGAGAGCAGGGTTGGTCTCTTCTCACTGGTGACAGGCGACAAGATGAGGGGAAATGGCCTCAAGTTGCACCAGCGGAGGTTTAGGTTGGATTTTAAGAAGAACTTCTATACAGAAAGGGTTGTTAAGCACTGTAATAGGCTTCCAAGGGAGGTGGTTGAGTCACCATCCCTGGATGTGTTTAAAAACAACTTAGATGTGGTGCTCAGGGACATGATTTGGTGGAGGGTTGTTAGAGTTAGGGTAGTATGGTTAGGTTGTGGTTGGACTTGATGATCTTGAAGGTCTTTTCCAACCTGAGCGATTCTATGATTCTATGATTAAACCAGACAAGTCTGATGGACAGCTGCAGAATGGCAGGGGCTTCCTCTCTACATGCACAAGAACTACCATGCTGCCAAAGAGGATGTTGCTGAGGCAGCCCCAGAAATACATGCCTCCAGTCAGTCAACAGTTAATAAAGAGCTGTGCTAAGGCTGCCATTATTTAAGCTCTACCTGAACTAAAAGGCTGGCTGCAACAAAAGCTTGTCAGTGGAAAGGTGTAAAAATTTCCTGCTTGGACATCACAACACTGACCAGGGACAAATGCAGAACAGGAACCTTATGCATCAGTACTTACTTCTGGAGAGTCCTTATCATACTTCAGAAAGAGGAAAAAAAAGAATAAAAAGGAAAGAAAAAAGGCAAGGGGTCTCAGCTAACAAGTGCTTAAGCTGTGGAAGAGCACTCTTGAAAGGCAATTCCTTCTCCTCCTTGTCACTCTATTCAATTGAGTATATATCATATATATGAACAACAGTGAAGCATGAAAAAATTCTAATGCTTCATTAGTTCAATCTAGGCTTTTAATACTTTATGGAATATCAGAACATACTTAATGTATAGATCAGCTATCAGGGAAAAATCTAATTGAAAGGAGGTGCTGCCAAACCTTATCTTATCTCAGATGCACTGTACAAGCACCTCCCTGACAAAGAAAAAAAAACTACAAAAGAACCTAATTATTATCTGAGATTTTTGGAGGTTTCTTAGAATTTTAAATGAACAAATGTGCAACTTCATCACTGGTCTTGAACAATTTAACCAAGATGCAATAGACTTAAGACAATGTTAATATAAATTTGTAAGCAATGATTTGGGAAAACCATTGTGAAAAAATTCAAGGGTCATATAAAGTAGAGATGCAATTCACTACATCTTCAAATTTTTAATATAAGACCAAATCTGAATCCAGCAGGGAGCAAGAAAATTTGCTCTTCTTATGTTCACAACCTACATTCCTGTTTATCTCTTGACAGAAGATTTTTGGTGTGATACAATGTAATAGGATCTGTATTTCCACAGAGGACAAACTCAGAGACATTGTTTGGTTTTTGCTTTGATGCACTGTTTAGAGAGTGGCATTAGTCAGCGCATCTAATAGCCCAGTGTGGGTACATTTCCTTCATGTACTTTAACACCTGTAAGGTTTAATGATAAATATCATAAAAGATCAGGATGGTTTATAAGTAGCTTAAAGGTATTAGGAGGTTTATAAAGCTGTAAAGTATACCTGCCCTTAAGGGCTGCACTGATTTAATTTCTCAACCACTGTGATTATTGCATTTTCAAAATAACCTGCATGTACACACCTAGTCTCAACAGACAGCAAAATCAGCATTGTTTCAGAGCAGAACATCAAACAGCTGCATTGTGCTGATACCTGTCAAAAGCTAAAAATGTAATTAAAGATGCACAGCTAAAGAAGTTTTTAAGTGTAGATGATAATTATTGAAGTGTCCACTATAAAAAAATTCTGAGTAGAAAAGCTAAGACCTGTAGGGTCTTCCTTATGACACAACAAGGAGAGGTCTGCTTCTAGTTACAAGTGAATGTTCACGCACATCTGGCAGATGTCATAATATTTCAAGTGTTTTTAAATGCCCATTGAAATGGCTTCAAAATATTATATTGTTTCCTCTCCCTAGACTGAAAAAGCTTCTTGAACAAGAAACAGCGTACCAAGAAAAAAAAGAGAAGGAAAACAACAAGAAAATAGCTAAACTGAAAGAAGAATTGACTAAACTGAAATCCTTTGCTTTAATGGTTGTGGATGAACAACAAAGACTCACTGAGCAGTTGAATCAACAAAGTCAAAAAATTCAAGAGTTAACCACTTCTGCAGACCAAGCACATGAGAAACTCGCTTTTGCTGAAGCAAAAGCTCAAGAGCAAGAACAGAAAGCCAGCAGGCTGGAGGCTGAACTTCAAGTCCAAAGCAGTAAGGTTTCCCAAGATCAAGAAGCAATGATGGCCAAACTAACCAATGAAGACAGCCAGAATCGTCAGCTGCGGTTAAAACTGAATGCACTCAGCAGACAAATTGATGAGCTGGAAGAGACCAATAAATCTTTAAGAAAAGCAGAAGATGAACTGCAAGACCTAAGGGATAAGATAAATAAGGGAGAATATGGGAACTCCACTCTTATGTCTGAAGTGGAGGAATTAAGGAAACGACTGCTGGAGATGGAAGGAAAAGATGAAGAGCTCATAAAAATGGAAGATCAGTGCAGAGAACTTAATAAAAAGTTAGAAAAGGAAGCATCACAGAGCAAGAGCCTTAAAGGGGAAGTTGACAAACTCAACAAAAGAATTATGGAGCTGGAGAAATTAGAGGATGCTTTCAACAAAAGCAAACAGGAATGCTACTCCCTGAAATGCAACCTAGAAAGAGAAAAAATGGTTACAAAACAGTTGTCTCTTGAGCTGGAAGGCTTAAAAGCTAGGGTTGGAGAGCTCGAAGCAATTGAAAGCAAGTTAGAAAAAACCGAATCCACGCTTAAAGAAGACTTAACAAAGCTTAAAACTCTAACAGTGATGCTTGTGGATGAAAGAAAAGCTATGAGTGAAAAAATAAAGCAAACAGAAGAAAAGCTGGAAGCTGCAACTTCTCAGCTCCAGGTGGAAAAAAATAAAGTGATGTCCATTACAGAAAAACTGATTGAGGAAAGTAAAAAGGCACTGAAATCAAAATCTGATGCAGAGGAAAAAGTGTCCAGTGTCACAAAAGAAAGAGATGAGCTGAAAAACAAACTCAAAGCAGAAGAGGAGAAAGGAAATGATCTTGCTTCCAAAGTAAATATTCTAAGAAAAAGACTTCAGTCACTGGAAGCTGTTGAAAAAGAATTTCTTAAAAATAAGCTTAAAGAGACTACTAAATCCAGCACTTCCTTGCAGCAGGAGAACAACAAAATCAAAGAGCTTTCTCAAGAAGTTGAGGGGCTTAAGCAGAAGCTGAAAGAAATGAAGGCCATAGAAGACGATCTTATGAAAACTGAAGATGAATTTGAGTCTCTAGAACGAAGATATGTCAATGAACGGGACAAAGCCAAGCTCCTGTCAGAGGAACTGGAGGCTGTGAAAATGGAAGTAGCTAGGTATAAACTAACAGAAAAGGCAGAATCCAATCAAGAGCAGCGTCTTTTTAAGAAGCTCAAAGAAGAAGAAGCTAAATCAAGTCACCTTTCCAGAGAAGTAGATGCACTGAAAGAGAAAATTCATGAATACATGGCAACAGAAGACCTAATCTGTCACCTCCGAGGTGATCATACAGTCTTACAGAAGAAACTCACCCAACAAGAAAACAAGAACAGGGAGTTAGCAAGAGAAATGGAAAGCCTCACAAAAGAATTAGAGAGGTACAGACGTTTCAGTAAGAGCCTCAGACCTGGTGCTAATGGAAGGCGGATATCTGACTTGCAAGTTTTTTCTAAAGAAGTCCAGACAGATCCAGCTGACAACGAACCACCCGATTACAAAACCCTCATGCCTTTAGAGCGAGCAGTCATAAATGGGCAGCTGTATGAAGACAGTGATTATGAGGACAAGGACAGCAATGATGAGGAACAATCAGTGGCTTTCAAAAGCAACTCATCCATCGGGAATGCCATGCACAAGAAATTATGGATCCCTTGGATGAAGTCGAAAGAAAACCACCACCAGAATGGAAAGATTCATACAAAGCAAAATGGAAACTGTGCACAGGCTGGAGACTTAGTGCTAAGCCATACACCTGGCCAACCTCTGCACATAAAAGTAACTCCAGACCACGGGCAGAACACAGCAACGCTCGAAATAACAAGTCCTACTACAGAAAGTACTCACTCCTATACAAGTACAGCAGTTATACCTAACTGCGGCACTCCCAAACAAAGAATAACTATTATTCAAAATGCCTCCTTCGCGCCTGTAAAGTCGAAAGCATCAGAAGGTTACATGAGCCCAGAGCAAGCCATTTCTCCCATTACTATGGCTGCTTTTGCAAGATCTCAAACTCCTGACTCATGTGGTTCCTTAACGCCTGAAAGAACAATGTCCCCTTTGGCTTTACCAGGCTCAAGTTCTCAGGAACAAATGCTCTCCTCAGAGCCTTTGGAAATGGGAGCCAAGCATGCTGTTTTCAGAGTATCCCCAGACAGGCAGTCATCGTGGCAGTTTCAGAGGTCTAACAGCACGGGATCAAGTGTAATAACTACTGAGGATAACAAAATCCACATCCACTTAGGAAGTCCTTACGTCCAAGCTCTCACCGGTACCAAGACCATCAGCCCCTGTACCCCAGTGCAAGATAACAGAACTCCAGCACTAGCTAATGGAATACCCAGTAAGCCCACCAATAAAATCACCAGCAGTATTACTATCACACCAACAGCCACTCCTCTCCCACGGCAATCACAAATTACAGTAAGTAATGTCTATAACTGACCCTCATCCATGCTGACACCCTTACCAGCAACCCATCCTGTTTTTCATCCCAGCAAGAATTATTTGGAACGGCCCTTTTCCTATGGGAGAGATCTGTGCATGAACTTTACAACATTATATGAAACTAACGTTAAGTTTTGCCTGCTTAGTGTTATCAAGTGTGCACTTACTGTATATCTTCTAATTGAAATACAGTTATGTAAAATATCTAGTCTTGCACTTGTATAAATGCATCTTTATGTATTTCCATTTTCAAAATAACTCACATTACTTTTGACTGCAACTTGCCTTGGTGAAATATTTTAACATTACAAAAACAGTAAATAATTGATTATTTTTATCATTGCTTGCAGAACATTTTTGGTTCCTTTGTGTGTGTGTGTGTGTTTGTATTTTATTTTATTTTTTGCATGTATGAAAGAATTTGAATTAAGCCATAATATTGCCTGCTAACTTCAGAAAAGACTTAACTTGTTACCTTCCATTTCTTCCAAATTCCTCCTAGCTCTCTCATTTCAGATAATTATCATTATATCACACACACAATCAACACAAAATGTATTGTATCTTGTATCAGATTTACGATGCATAAATGATATGCTCCAGACCAAGACAACCACTTTTTTTCTCCCCATCCTTTTATAAATCTCTTTTTGTATCCTCATGTAAACCCTAATTCCCTCCCCAAAAGGCAAACATTTGTTGTTTTTTTTTCCCAATACAACAGAAAAATTGCTATCACTTAAGTACGCTGTAAAACAATTAACAGAAATACATTTCTAAGTTGGTAATTCAGAATGCATTCACATACAACACTCAAATTTCATATAAGCTCTTCATTATCAGTCCAACGTGACTGAAGGAGAAACAAGATTATTAGCAATTGTGGCCCACCATCATATTCTTTGCATAATAGACAGAGGAAGCTTGACTGAAGCAATAAGAAGTAGCACTAGACCTCCTCTCTGAACACACAGGCCTCTAGGACTAGGCTAAATTGCAGTACCATACAGCACAGACAAAAGAGGTTAAGATATTTCAGTGATAGATATGGAATTAGCGCCCAAGGAAAGGACAGAAACTTAAACAATGCTGCCTCAGTTTACATGTGGGCCAAACAGCAAATTGTAGCCTCCCAGAAAATATTGCAAATAGTAGACCAGCTTCATACTAAACGTAAATCAAGCCAAAAGATCTGAAATTCACTTTCAGATCACAGATCACAAAAGCTGTCTTGAAAAAAAAAGGGAATTTGGAAAGGCAGCTTCTTATTCTAAAGAACTGCCTAAGTAACTTACGTCCGGGAGGTGGGAGGACTGGAATTAAAATAAAATCTCCTTATCAACAAGGAAGTTTGCATGTAAGGACAAAGTTTCTATTCATTTCTTCACTAAACCTGTATCATTATTCTGCTTACATTATCTGGAGTTCAAAAAAAATAATCGTATCTGCAGTATAATTTAGCAGCTGATTCAGCAAAGGACTTTGGCACACACTTTAACATAACAAAGGGACTTTTATAGGACAGGAACCCAAATGGTTACAGCTGTAGGTAAAAGCTGATATTTAAAGGAATAGCTTCTATTGAAAAGCAAAACCCACCACCCATACACACTTCTTCTAGGTGAAATCAGCAATAGGAAGGAAAATTATTAAGTTACAGATTTTGTGTTTGGAACTCAATGTAGCAAATGTACTTTGAGGTCCCTTGGTGTTCTTTGAGGTCCCCTCCAACCTAAGCCACTCTATGACTCCGTGATACTATAGCTGAGCAGTGGAAACTTTAAGGTCAAAATATGGGATGGTGTAAGTCTAGCTTAATGTCATGAATAGCTTCAAGAACTGCTGTATCAGGTAATCAGGTTTCATAAGAGGTCCTTCACACTAGATTTGTTTCAGTTTATCATCGCTGACTCGAAAGTGAGATCTGATTAAGATCTGGGTCAGAAGAAATGAATGGTCTCACCCTGCAAGGCAGATTGCAAGTTGGCTCTCACCAACTTCAGCAGAAGTTACCAATCAAGACAGTAGCTAGCACTCGGGCAAGTCAAGATTCTAACTTGATTTTATAATAAATTTACCGTAACTGTGCCAGTTACATAAACAAGTAACTTTCTTGCATTCAGCTTTCACATTATTAACTGAAAGGCTCATCCAAAATTAAAAAGCAGAAGCAGTCCATTCAGAATGCATTCTCTGCACGTCTAGAATTTGGAATACTGCATGTTCTGTTGATTGATACCCAAGATCTCTGCAGGGGCATGTTATAAGCATGGTACTGAGTAACTGTGCCTGAAGTAGTGCATACTTGACAGCATACTAATGGATGCCAGATTCTCTACAAATTAAAAGATAAACAACTGTCCTTCAGCAACACTAGCATTTTCTTCAATCAGACTTTAAAGCCTTGTGGAAAAAATATTTCATCTTATAGCTGTGTTCAAAGTGTGCAGAAATGTGTTGATTATTAACTATCTGCCCTTCTATTCCAATGTCTTTGAAAGACAGCACAAAACAGGACATAATAGCAACAAGCATACGTAGACCTTTGGGCAATTCCCAAGCCTTTATGAATAAGGACTTCATAGTCTAAAGCTAAGTTTTCGATACAAAGCCTAAGCCAAAGTTCACAACACTTATAAGTTTAATCATTAAACAGGACAGTACTTCTGCTCCTGTCTCAGTACTTCTGTTGGTGGTGGTTTACCAGTAACTGTCCAATTAACAAAACACAAAGGAAGTAGTCACTCATTACCATTAACTCTCAAATAAAATGTACCGATATTATGTGTAAGTGAACTTGCAACATTTCCTCAAAAACATGCCTTGATTAAGGGCATTGATTATATCCCCCCATTAATTAAATAATCTACATACAGACCTCAACTGACTTCACACGGGATTTTTTTGTCATAGATTTTCAACACATGAAAAACACAATTATTATTTTGCCTAATAATTATATTTGCAGAATAAAGCCTGATTCAAATTCCCAATATTTTTTCAAAATACATAGCAGAGAAGAACATTTGCTCAGTTGTACTTGTTGAGAGCAGAAACTTACACTGAATAAAAATAAGCTAGCTCTATATTCATCATAAGAAGAGAAAGCATAGCTTAGTGAAATTGCAAGTGTTTACAAATTTACTTCAAGTTGTTCAGATCAGCACTTCGTATTTCAGATGATTTCTTTTTGCTGAGGGGGAATATTCACCTGCTTGCTTAGCAGGCAAAGAGAAAACAGAGCAAGGGAAAAATTACATGACCTGTCTGAAAAATGATTTAAACACTTTGAACAAAAACACCAAGCATAATTGTATTACATTTCAACCAAGCAAGGCAGTTTTTCCAGGACTCAGATGCACTCCAAGTGGTAAGTACTGCTGTTTTAACATTGGAAGATGAGACACTTCAGTTTTCAGTGTTTTCCCAAAAGCCTAAAATTTGTCAGGTACTTACAGCAGTGATATAAATAAATACTAATGGGAAATACGGTCGCAAAGAAAAAAACCCAAACCACTAAGTAGGGTATATCTGAGGGATTAAAACGTGAAATGGAGCATAAGAACAGTTTTCAGCAGATCATAGTATCAACCCATCCCTTTTCCAAAACAACATGCAGACATCTCCTCTCAGATCTACAAATCTGCTCTCTCCACTGGATGTCATGTTAAGTCCTCAGAAACAGAAAAGAAAAATTAAATCATAATTAAATCAAAAATTATCAGCCCGCTTTCCCTTTTCAGTTTTAGTTCTGTAAGCAAGCAAAGGAATGCAAGTAAAGGCAGCATCAACTATTCAGTACTCAGCATTTCTGAGTCATTATGTTTACGCAATAAAATATTTCCTTTGAAATATTTATAATTTTTTTGTCACAAAAGGGAGGACAGATGAGGGATGGGAGGGGAAGGAAGGAAAAGAAAAGAAGAGACTAAGAGCCAATAATGGTACTGCGAGCAGAGTGTCCATCCATCAACTAAAAGGTATCTCAAGTTTAAGAAAAGAATCCCTTCCTCCAGTTGCTAATTCATGAATATAATTGAGAAAATAATAGCCAGCTAATCTTCCTATTTCAAAACACTGTAGATAATGTCAACATGGTACCTGGGGACCGAATGCAAGGCTGTAAGAAGAAAAAAAGAACCCTATGTATGGATCTCATAAAGGCCTAAAAAACATGCTTCCCATGCTAAGGAAAGAATAATAAAAAGCAGACTTATAAACTATTACTTTCTAATTAAGGCTGAATGGATTCTGCAGGGTTAAGTGATAGAAATGGAGTACCCATTTTCCCAGGGACTTGTCTCTAGAACAGCTACAGAGACAGGCAAAAGAATAACTGGCAACTGCCTGATCTCCAGGCATAAGTGAAGACTACCAAACATTATGTTAACAAGAAATAGAAAAGATCTTATGGTTCAGACACAGCATGAGTGGGTGCATAAAGACATTTCAAAATTAGCACCAAGCAATGTAAGTGGGAAAGTGCTCAAGAAAAAGGCTTTCCTTAAAAGTTTAAAATGAATGAAGTGTTTCCATAAACCTGCAGCCAGTGGCCCCCTGCTGTGGCCAAATTCTGTCTGACAGCCCATCATCAGATGTCCATCAATTGTGTGGGCATCCAGAAAGCCTCAACTATCAGAGCTGCCAACTGCACTTGATTGTTCCCAGACTACTAAGGTAAGCACTCTTGTGGAGCACATTTTGAGTGCAGCAGGATAAGCCTGTTTCAATCAGGGACTCTCCACTCTGTAGGCACTGGCCTGACATACCAGGGTCTTCATACAAGGATAGGCAAGAGAAGCTACTTCCCCTCTTATCCCTACTACAGGGTACTGTCCAGTCCAGTTTTGCTGACATTACTGCACATGAAGTAGCACTGTGAATCAGACCAAGAAACTAACCTGGATTCAAACAAACAAAAAGAAGGGTTAATTTCGTAGCACAGCTCAAACAAGCAGCTGTGTCAGTAAAACTGCTGGGACAAGCAACAAACGATGAGCCCTCTTAATACTGAAATTGCTGCCGAAGTGCTGGTTTTATCTCTTTAGATATCGCCACAATTGTCTGCAGAGATGCAACCTAGCACATAAATACATCAAAAGCACTCCAAATGTACAACCACCATTCAACAGTCCTACTAACAGCCTTCCGGGGTACTAAGAAATGACTCTCACTTTACAGCTGAGAGGAGAAAAAAACAGGGGAGAAATTAAGTGACTTGTGTACAGGCATAGCAAGGCAGCTTCAGCCATGACTAAAATCCAGAATTTCATATCTTTGAATGTCTCACACTGAAGCCTTTATAGGGTCCCCAAATGGGGACAAATGTAGGGGTTTTTG